AGTGATTGGGTCGAGCCCCTGCAGGTAGATACAAGCACGGTTGAGGAGGATTCCAGCAGTTCATCTCCAAGCCCGGTGAAGCTGAAGAGTGCCATTGCAAACGGGGGACCTCGTAAGGGGAAGGGTAGGAAGAGAGTAGTACTACAGGAGGAAACCGATGACGAGCTGGCATGAAGGAAAGTGCCCTGGTACCCTGGGCGGCAGGCGTTCACCATTGCATATGAATCATTTGCTGGACATATAGCAGAGCACATGGGAGTCGGGCAATTTACTGGAGCATGGTGCTTGCTATGCAGACATGAGCTGCATAGATGATAGCGCATAGCACGAGGCGGGTTAGCGTGAAATTGAACCAACCAACAGAACAGCCTTGGCGATCCGGGATGTGTGACACTCGAGGTCTGGCGTCGATCTTCCCTTCCGATGAGTACCCTGATGAGTTGATGAAGTGTACCTGCGTCAAATGTGGTCTTTCCAACGTCATTGTATGTTGTGATTGATCGAATGGTGTTGGGTATATTCACCGTAATCATGATGTCACGAGCGATGCTCAGTCCACAGGAAGCATCAACTATCTTATATATGACATCTCCAGCCTACGATTGATTTTTAACCCTCCCCTTTTTACATCAAAGACAGTAACAAACAACGATTCTTGACCTGAGGATACAACTCGTGAGCATTTCGAAACCTTTTACATCCAACCACACATCAACGACCACCATAATCAACATGTCCGCCAACAACTCCGGAGGTGACCTTTTTGACATGGCCAAGGACGGCACCAAGAGTACGTGGTTCTCCTAGCTTCCGAACCTTCCCCTTCCTAACTAACAAACTTCTTCAGTCCCTGAAGACTCAGCCAAGCCCAACTACATTCCCTCCAAAGCCCGTCCCGACCAAACAGGCGAGGAAACCGCCGGTGGCCTTGGTGCCAGCAAGCTTCACATGGCCGCAGACAATGCCACCGCCACCACTGGGTTCGGCGAAGTCGTGAGCGCGAACGGAGGAGAGCTCCCGGATGATATTGGCCAGAAGTACAGCCGCGATGGAGGGAAGGAACGGGGCTCGGAACCCAACAGCCATGGTGGACGGAACACCAACACCCACGGTCACCACACGTGAGAAGGAGGAGATGGATTGTATGATATGAACACTGTATTGTATTAACGTCATGAGATGAGACAATGACACGGGCATGGACCCTTTTCGCATTATGCACATCGAAGGTACTGTAGGGTAGCTTCCTGCCATTTGTGGAAACTCAAACTACTTTCTATCGAGTTTTGAGATCAATCAGCTTCAAGTGATCTTGCTCGAATCATCATAATTCATCCTCCAATGCATTATCTACATTTTGGGTTGACATAGGCAGCCAAGGCATTCTTGGGTGGTTGGTAATGTCGCGTATATGTAGCTGGGAGGCGTAAGCGCTAGGGGTAGCTGACCATCATCAAGGGAGTAATTCGCCAACAACCCTCACATAGCCAGTACTTTTGCACGTCTTCCACAACAACAGCGGCCGCAATCATGCTAACGGTAGCAGAAACTGTACGACTGCTTGGCCAGTTCACGCAAGAGGACCTCAACGTCGTTGCCTTGACAGGCGCCGTTATCGGCGTCACAACTCATGTGTTGTACTGGTCCCGCGGGTTGAGGGCGCCGCAGTCGTCTCGGATATTTTATTCTCATTTCGTCGCCTTCACTTTCATCGCAGCTCTTGCGGTCAACACAGATGGCTTTTCCCAAGGGCTACTGGCTGCATGGGCAGTCTGCGGCTCCTACCTAGCCGGGCTGTTCACTAGCATGACCGTCTACCGCATCTTCTTCCACCGTCTCAGGCGTTTCCCCGGTCCCTTTCCAGCAAAGGTCAGCAAGCTGTACTCTGTGTGGCTGGCGAGGAATAGCAAGCTGTATCAGGATGTTTCTGATCTGTGCGATAAGTATGGGGATATCGTTCGGACGGGTACGTCTCCCGGCTTTGTCTCTGATGACATGATGAACTAATTGCTTCTGCCAGGACCCATGGACCTAGTCATCCGTTCAGCAGATGCAGTGCAGGTTGTTCATGGAAGTAACTCCAAGTGCACCAAACGTGGTTTGGGGACTTTTGAGATCTTTGATTGGGATGGTGGGTTCAGCCTGGAGACCATCATGGACAGCGACATCCATCGAGAGCGGAGGAGGATCTGGGACCGGGCGCAGAATCCACAGGCCATGGCGCACTACGAGATATGCACGCGAAAGGCTGTCAGGACGTGGCTGGCTAAAGTGGCGTCTGTGGAGGGAGAAGCTATTGAAATGTCTAAAGCCATGCTTCTCGTGGCCTTCGATAACATGGGTCAGATCGGGTTCAGTAAGGAGTTTGGGGCTACGCAGAAGGGAGAGGGGACTAGATGGATTCATCTGATGGGTGCACTGTTGGAGCAGATTGCAATCCTGGGTGGACTGACATGGCCTACGCTCGTTGCTAGGTCGTTGGAAGGGTTGGGCAAGTTTGGGCCGCTGAAGGATGCGTTGGAGTTTAATGATATCTCCAAAGACTTTGCGCATGAGAGGCTTGACGTGAGTACTTCGTCTTTGAGCCTGCGGCTCGCAGAGAACGTGACTAACAGGACGCAGAGGGACGATCCTGCCCTGCACGACATCATGAAGTACTTCATCGACGACTACAAATCGGAGAACCCGAAATCCTTCGTCAGGGATACCGACCTCTACACAGACACCCAGACGATCCTCATAGCCGCAACGGACACCAGCGCCGCAACTCTGACCTGGCTCTTCTACTACCTCACCATCCACCCGGAAATCAAGTCTCAGCTCGTCTCCGAGATCTCCACCGCACGCAGCCAAACCGCAGAATCAGGCGAATTCCTCGACGCAGACCTAGCCCACCTCCCCTACCTCAACGCCGTCATCAACGAAACCCTGCGCATCAAGCCCGTGGGCGGAAACAACTCCCCTCGTCTCACACCGCCCGAGGGCATCGTAGTCGACGGCACATGGATCCCGGGCCAAGTCCAAGTGGTCATCCCAATCTGGGCTCTATGCAGGTACGAGAAGTACTTTGAACGACCCCTCGATTTTGTCCCTGAGAGATGGACAACGAAACCAGAGATGGTGAAAGACAAGAGGGCTTTTATCCCATTCAACCATGGGCGGTGGAGCTGTGCAGGGAAGAAGCTTGCTATGATGCTGATGAGGCTTGTGGTTGCGTATACCGTCACGGATTTTGACTTTGGGTTTGCGGAAGCGGAGGATGGAGCGGCTATTGTGAGGGATACCAAGGATGTCACGCTCGTGAAGCCGGGGGAGTTGAGGTTGCGGTTTACCAGGAGGTCGGCGTGAGACCGGGTCCAGAAACCCTTGTAGGGTAGGTTGGTTGACTGGGCATCGGGTGCAAACGCCGATTTATCTCGAGTTTGGGTAGAGAATCTCTTCAATGTTGATACGAACAGTTCGCCGTAAGCATGACTAAATGAGGTTACTAAACAGCAACGTGTAAGGACTTGCGGCAGGTTACTTGTACAGTTAATTCCCTTGACACTACCATCTCCTTGACGGCAATGGGTCCTTAGGCCGAGGGTATACTCTAGCCAAGCAATTTATAGACTGCAATGGCCAAGTAAAGTGCCAAGATGCAACGGGGTTGACTCATATTTATCATGACTGGCCTTACTTCTAACACCCGTTGCGATGTTGCTACGCGTAAGCGCATGGGCTTGCCGTATTTGGCTCACCGGGAACGCAGTCCCCACCTCGGCCGAAGGCCGTCTCTCGGTGCCAAGACCCTATCGGTACCTATATCATGTTGTAGAGATCCCGCTTAGACAATTACCACTCCAGCAAGCACACACCTTTCTCAAGCGAACGAAAAAAACTTGGGGCTTGACCTGTATTTCATCAATATGGCACCCAAAGTCCAGATCCGCCCCGCAACAGAAGCGGACGTGGCCACCATCGTCGACATTCACAATGACTCCTTCGGCCCGAGCTTGATGAACAGATTGATGTATCCCAACGGCATCAGCGCCGAAAGCGACGCCAAGTTCGGCGAGTCCATCCTCAAACAGATCCGGAATCCGCCGTCGCGAGAAACAGGCGATGAGCAGATCTGGCTCGCTTACCTGCCCGAGGAGAACGACGAGGTCATCGCGTTCGCCATGTGGACGGTATTCAGGGAGGAGAGGCCCGAGGAGGAGTGGTCAAAGGTTGCCAGCCTTGGGGAGCCGGGGCCGGAAGTGAATGTCCCGTTTTATGAGGAGTTTATTGGCGGTTTGCATAAGATGCGGAAAAGGTGGATGAAGGGGGACAAGGGGTTATGTGAGTCCTACCTCTACTCTATCTGATCTCTCACCAGAGTTATTACTGACTTAAGTAGTACTCCGTATGCTCTGCTGTAGGACGGCAAGACATCGTCTTGGCGCTGGCTCAGCGCTTTTGAGATGGGGATGCGAGCTGGCAGATAGGGAAGGACTGGTTACGTGGCTGGAGGCATCACCGGAAGGATATGGTGCTTATCGCAAGTTTGGGTTTGAGCCGGTCGAGGTGCAAGATCTGAAGGTTGTGGAGAAATGGGGTGCCGCCAAAAAGCTAGGAGATAACTGGGGTGAAAAGAGCGCAGTTGAGTTTGCCGGTGAGGTGCCTGAGGGAATCTATAGGAATGCTATGATGAGGAGATTGCCTGCCAAGGCGTAGACAATATGACAACAGAGTTTATACATGAGCGAGCACATGTCATCCATGGATACATGTCGCCCGATTGCTGCATGGATCTTTATATGCTTGGCCAAGTCAAACTTGCAGCACGCTCTTTAGCCCGTAGCTGTTGCTTGGTAAAGTCGTAACCATCAGCTCTGATATGCTTTAGTCTAGATGTAATGGTTAACTTGGACATATTGATTGAAGGCAGCTTTAACTGCTCGTAACCGGGAACTGTCTAAGTCATGCTGCGTTGGTTACCGTCATGAGCATTCTATTTCCGCACTAGCAGCAACAAAGGGACCATGGCGCAGTTGGTTAGCGCGCAGGTCTCATATTCTTCTGAATATGATCAGGCGTCAAGTTTGAGTAATCCTGAGGTCGTGAGTTCGAAACTCACTGGTCCCATTACCTTTTGCTGCATGATCCCAGCTGTTGTTGCCGTTCTTTTTGTCCCGCTGAGAATTATGGTACTACTGGAGTTTGGAAATACGTCGAACATCACAAGGGCTGGAAATACCGGGACAAGAAAGGAAGAGGCGTCATGTGCCCAGAGGCACGTTTGGTTTTATCATTGCCATCTATGGGGTATTATACGTCCGACTTTCCAACGGTAGCAGCAGCAGCAGCAGCAGCAGCAGCAGCAGCCTCCTTTTCCTTCTTGTTCGCCTTGATGACAGTCCTCCAATTTGTGGTCTGTGCCATCTCCTCCGAGCTGGCAAATCCAACCTTTTGAGCATATGTATTGTTCACTTCCTCAGGGGTCGGCAGCACTTGTTTCTTGTCCATAGGGACGTATCTGCCCACGTTTGTGCCCTGATGGCCGCCCAGGAACACCTTGGGCAGGTGTTCCCTCTTCTTCCCATGTGGTCCTGACGGTGCCAGCGTCCTGTTCAGTCCCGCCCGCTTCGATACCATATCCAGAAGCCTGTTGGCTAGTAGCTCGTCCATCTTCTTCGCACGCCAATGCTCCCAGAGGTCAGTCATCAACCCTTGGTTGCCGTACATGTCGGTCGGGTCATCTTCTCCAGCATATATCCAGTTGACGGCGTCTTTCATGTTCAGATCGAAGTTGTGCTCGTCATATTCAGGCAGCGTCCCATGAGACTCGAGCTCTGGAAAGATACAATCCCACAGCACGAGCGGCGAATCGTCGGCGATGATATAGTTGGGACGTCCGGGGTACTTCTTCACATCCAGAAGCTCCGTGATAACCTCTGGCCTCTCGTATCCCTGGCCGACTAGGAACAAAACAGATACCATGTGCCGAATCTGATGCCACAAGAATGCGCTACCCCGAACGTGGAAGTAATACACTTTCGGCAGGCTGCCCTGTACCATCACGTGTTGTGGCTTGAACTTGTCTGTGCTCAAGTAAGGCAATGCAGACTCCACATCCTCAACTTCGACGATATCAGCCTCGAATATACGCCTGTGGAACATGCTGACCTGCTTCTTCATGTCGACCTTGCAGAAGTTCCTAAAGTCGTGAAGACCCTCGTATAGCTTCGCCGCCTTCCGCATAGCCTCAATGTCTAGCCATCCTTCTTTAACAGCTCCAGGCTTCGTCTGCACTATTCCTTCCGGTGGCGGAGAATATGCAGGCTGCGTAAAGAAATACCGGTACTGTCTCTCACGACAGCTGAATCGTGCCACGAAGCCTTCCGGTAGATCACCACACCAGGCCAACATCCTTATGTCTGGAGGCAGTAGTCGGTTGAGGACTTTGCAATATTGTATCTCGTCTCGTATGGGATCCCATTCGGGCTTCTTGACCTCCCTCTTGGCCTCCTTTTGTTCACCCTGCACCTCCTTCCCATCGATGTTCATCTTCTCGGCATCTTCTTCTGATGGCTCAGGGTCCTTCTTGGGTAACGGTCGGTTACTCCTCACGCGTATTGTTATGACTTGTCCAAAGGCAGAAACGCCCCTGTCCGTCCTCCCACACTTCGAATACTCGAACGGAGTGAAGTTCAGCTCGTCTGGGTTCTCCGGCCGGATGAGGCAGCTCTTTGTCAATGCCTTCCATAGCTCCTCCTCTATTGTTGTCAACAAGCCGTTCGTCTGGTACTCATAGCCGTTGTAGTTCTTCCCCAAGTATGCGAACTTCAGCGCTATCAGACGGGTAGAATGCGCTGCAGGCTCGGCCTTCTTCTTTTTCTTCTTTTTCTCTTTCTTGTCCGATGCAGCTGCCGCCGTCGCTTCGAGAAGGGTCTTTGTTGGAAGCGTTTGTGCAGGTCCGCCTGTCTGCTTCAACTGGTCCTCTAGCCATTTTATCCTCTTCACCAAAGCCTCGCGCGTCAACGCACTGTAGTTCGTGTCTGCCATCTCTTGGTGGGAAGCGCTGAAGGCCCGGGGGGAGATATGACCGCGGTGATAAATTTGCGAAAGTATCGCCCTCGTCACCTCATATGTTGGTAGCGGACGTCGGAGCGTGGAGAAAGGAGGCATGCGGTTTGGCGCGCATTTGCGGGCAAGTCTTGCATGCGCCCATGAACTAGGGAACATTTTTGTGGTGACCAGAGGGGTGCATGTGGATAGCTCTTATCGCGTTCTTATCGGGACTGGGCTCGAACTCCCATACAAAGACACCGGGATTGCTTCTCTCTTTCTTAATGTCCCAAAAACCAACCGCATACACTCAGTTGCCTGGGTTCGGATCATCCGCTGGCACAGGCTGGATTACTCAAGTCACAACAGGACGAAGTGGTTACAAGCGACCTGGCTCCCTACAGTCCCTCCTGCTTCTGAAAAATGTCTGGTTAACCCTGCCATTCAGATGGTCATTTTGTCTGTACCCTATGTAAAGCTCGCGATGAGCAGCTTGTGTCTGACCAGCTTGGCTATCAGTTTGACACAGAGGAGAAAATGGGCACACTGGGCAGGATGAACATCCTTCTCTGTGCCGCAACAGACATGACAGTGGCATTGCTCCTGTTCATTTTGTGGCACCAGCCATGAGAGCATCTTTCGGCAACCCAAGTAAATATCAGCCCGTTATTGGCACGTTGACCAAGTGTCAGATCTGGCCCTCGTACTGTAAGGCCAAATGAGCGGGCTCAGACGGGATACGGTCAGCTTGGTCACGCATGGGCAAGCGCCCACCAGAGTCTTCACTCTAAAGTCCATGCTGCGGTGCCGTCAGACACCATGATCAAGCGGGTGGGCAACGGTTCGTTTGGCCATGACGATGAGAGGGAGTATTAATTCCATCTTCTGGAAGTGTCTTTCAATAGCAGTCACCGCAAAGTCTGAACCGTATTCCCTTGTCGGTTTATTCATGTAAACATTGTTAAGTAATTGAGCTCAAGTGAAGTCATATTCGGTTTGTGGTTCGTGCCTTCCCCAAGTCGGCGCACCAATACTGGGAAACGAGGCTGCCAGTATTTACAATAATGACGGCTAAGCCCCACACTGCTACACGAGCCAGGCCTTTCAGCCTCCTCTTTTGACTCGTCTCCACCAGCTGCTTCCAGGTTCACACGCAATTACCACACATGTTAGACACTCTTACCCTCTTCCATTTTACACTTCCGTTGGAAACCTTAATCGCCAATAGCAATAACGCCAGAGTCGACTAGACTCTGTTGGCACACGAGCCCGCCATGTCCGAATTCATAGGGTCAGTTAAGCAGCATCCCGCAGCGCCACGAAGCTATTGCAATTATTGACTGGACCTTGATTAGAGCTCGCATATCTCTCATTTCGAAGAGTGACATCCGGTTAGTCTGCACCCAATTGGTCAATCGTTCGTTGGCAATGGCTAACAAGACCTCAGCTATGTTGGAACCCTCCATCAGATCAACACCGACGAGTCCACCGTATCGCTTGAAAATGTGAAATCATACGGTACCGAAGGGCGCAAGGGCAAGCCTGAGGACGAGACGCCACCATCCGACCAAGTCTACGAATACATTGTGTTCCGTGGCACCGATGTCAAGGACTTGCGCATCGAAGAGAGCCCGAGTACGGTGAAGGAGAATAAGCCACCCGCAGTGCCTAATGATCCTGCGATCCTAGGTGTAAGTTACACCATCTTCCGGCGCGCCCTGCAAGACTGCTTTTGCTCCTGATAAATCAGTCCGGATGTATAACAGTTGTCAATTGACTGAGAGCGCAAAAAATCATGTAAAGATCAAACGATGTCTTTCCGAAAGGAGCATGAAATTCAGCGTGTCGAGCTTGCATCACTTTCTTCAGGAATAAGCTGCTAACGATGTGGTTCCAGGCTCGACCTCTCCAAGGCAATGTTCCACCTGGTCCGCCCAACCAGTTCGGAGGTCCTGCCGGTCCAGGAGGCCCCGGCGGCCCAGGCTTCGGTTACTACCCTCCGCCCCCGAACATGGGAGGCTGGGGTGGTCGAGCTCCTCCTCCCGGTCCATATGGAAACATGCCGTATCCGCCTCCTCCGGGTTGGTACCCTCCTCCTCCTGGACCTGGCGGACCGTGGGGTAACCCTGCAGCTTTTCCCCCTGGACCCGGCGCCCCTGCCGGGCCTTCTGGTGCTGCTGGGCCCCAAGCGCCGAACAACCGACAGGCGCCCAATGCCCAGGACCCTCGGCCAGCTCCCATCGGTGCAGCTGGGGACAAGAAGCCGAGCACACCAGCGCAGCAGGGTGCTGGTGGCCCCACCGGACATTCTCAGAGCCAGCCTGGCCAAGTACGGAACGAGGCGGTACATCGTGCTTCACCCGCCCAGACGGCGGCACCAACACTACCAGTTGACTCGAAGCCTTCTGTTGCTGAAGTCAAGGCTACCGCAGCTTCACTTCAGGCTGCCACGGCGCCAATTTCATCGGCTGCGGAGGCCAATAGATCCGTTCCTACCGGACCCAGGACCAATGCCCGCCCCGGCCAGATCATGGCTGCTGTTCCCCTTCCTGCTGCCCTCACTTCCAAAGTTGCGCAACAGACGCAGCCACCTGCCAATGTCGCCTACCAGCAGGCCACCGCGGCCGATTTGAAGGATGCTACAGAAGCCGCCAAGGCAGCTGTTGCAGTAGCTATGGCTAGGCTTGGACAAGGAGGAAGCAGCGCATCCATCCCGGCTCCTGCTGCCCATCAGGCTGGTCAGGCTGTCTTACAGAACCTTGCCAAGGAAGGCGGGGCCTTGGATAATTTGACGAAGAAGGTTGGAGAACTCAGGGTGAACGCGGGTTCCACGCGCGGAAGCCCGAACACACGTGGTCGAGGCCGTGGTGGCCACCGTAATGCCAAGGTTGAGGTTCCAGATGCCGACTTTGATTTTGCCGAAGCAAATGCCAAGTTCAACAAGGAGGAGGTGGTCAAGGAAGTCGCTTCCCCTTTGCATGAAGGTGCTCAAGATGGCGGAGAAGCCACCCCTGAAGTTGAGACCCAGGCTCCAGGCATGTCAGAGGCACCAGCTGCTTATAACAAGAGCAAGTCAT